ATATGTTGCCGGCATCTCTCAAAATGCCATTCTGTGAATGGAGTTAGTCGCGAGTGGACGGGACGGCGGTTGTAGTTTTTTTTTTCTTTACTATTTCTATTTCTTTTTAATTGTTTTATTTTTATTTCGTCAAGTCGTGGACGTTGTGATTGACCCTGGATTACGTCGGTGGATCAATTTTTTGGGGTTTATTTTTTCAAATAAAGGATTTTTTCAAAAGTCTGGTCTTTTAATTTACAATTTATTTCAACCCTTTAATGAATGGGTAGGGGTATAAGTACCCCTTACTTATTCACAAGGGGGGCGGGCATCTGGATGCCCCTATATTAAAGGGGTACCCTGATGTGAATAAGCCCCTTACCCGCATCCCCACAACCAATGCCCCAGGACTTGTGGGGAAGAGGCCCTTGTCCCCATCAGCACGGGGACAAGGTGCTTTTCCAGGGGCGACCCTGTAAAAGCACCCTCCCAGTGCCAAGGGCATGTGGCCTGGTATCGTCACCCCCCTTTCCTGCCCTGCCAGGCCTGTGCTCGGATCAAGGGTCTGGTTAAGAATTTTAGGGGGACCCCACGTTTTTTCCTCATTTTTGGGGGTGGGGTTCCTCCCTGAATTTCCTTCCAGACCTTAAGGGTCTGGTATGACTTTGAGGAGGAACCCCACACACTTTTTTTTTTTTTTTACATGGGGTCCCTTCTAAAATTCCTACCAGACCTTAAGGGTCTGGTATGACTTTTGGGGGGAACCCCATGCTTTTGTCTGTCTTTTTTTTTTAAATGGGGTCCCTCCTAACATTGCTACCAGACCTAAAGGGTCTGGTATTGCTTGGGAGGGGGAACCAAACGCTTTTTTTTTCTTTTTAAATGTCATTTTTTTTTCTTTACAAATGTTATTTTTGCGGCAGTAGGTTCTATACATCGTACAGATGTGCCACTTGGCAGGCAGTTTAAGGGGACCTCCCTGGCACGATATTTAAAGGGATTTTTCATTTTTATTGTTTCACTTAAAGTGATGTTAAAATCACTGCTCCTTTAAAAATGGTATTAAACAAAAAAATGTTTTCATTGATGCATGTCCCTCAGGGCAGTACCCGAATCCTCATATCCTTTTTTTGACCAATGAGTTGCATATAAGCTGTGGCAGTGTAAGCCAATGCCATGGTGGAGGATGGCGACCTTGGCACCCAGGACTCTCAGCCAAAGGGGCTGAGAGGGTCCAGAAAGTAAAGCAGGTTATAAGGAAGAACCTGGCTTTTCAGGTTATTCCAGGTTTTCCTATTTGCAGCTGGGATCTGGAGCTCTGGAGATTTCGTAGAGCTCTGGGTGGGATGAGATCTCCAGTCCTGGGGCCAGGTGTTGCCAATGACCAGCCTGGGCTAATCAGGTGGCTGAGAGCAGCCTTATCAGGAAGCCAGCCGAGTGCTCAGGAGAGTGTTGGAGTTGTGTGTGTGTGTGCGTGCAGGGAGCACACAGACAAACTCGGGTGCGTGCTGGACGCACACGGGACAGCCAGGGGTGGCTGGGAGAGGTCAGGAAGGTCGGTGACCCCAGGGACCTGTCGGACAGACTACTAAGAGAGCAGAGTGAGGGCTCACGAGGGGTGAGCAAGCGTGAGTGTCTTGAAGCTGTGGAAAGCTACCGAGCGAAGCTAAATGCCTGTCTTATGTTGCTGTTTCAAGCTATTTTGTGTTTGCCCTTTCAATAAACTGTGGTTTCCTTGACTTACCTGGACTACAGTGGAGTGTCCTTGTTACAAAGCCTTCAAAATGGGGTCAATTTATTTTCGAAGTTCTAGCCTCATAGACTTGCATTGAGTTTGAATTCAAACTTTTTCCATGCTCTAAAGTTCCAATTCGAACCGAACAGGGGGGCTGTTCGGCCCATCACTACTGCTGACTAACGCTATAACGCATTATGTATAACTGTTAGGAGAAATTGAAACTCCCACTCACATCTGTAGTGAGATCCAATAACGTTACAATGCTTCGCTCTGCGTTACAGTTTGGTATTTTTTGAACAGTGATTTTCAACTAAAACATTAATTGTTCTCCTCTGACGTGGTAGATGGTGTCATGCCTACTTTAGCTTACACAGATAACTTAAGGAAACTAAACTGTGGATTCAATTAGACACGGCAAATATAAATACAATGGAAAATACCTCAAGCGCTTTACAAGAATAAGAAGTAATTGGTGAAGATGTTTATTGCTAACTGTTCTAATTTGAGATGAAGATTAGAATGTTTAAAGTATATCTAAGTAGTAGAGAATTGTTAAAACTTCTAGGTTTTTTTTTGCAGACCTTTGCATCGCTCCCTATCCTGGAGACACAACAAGAAGAAAGAAACCTCTCAGACTGAAAAGAAATTCACTCCTAGACAGATGTCACCAAATAGGCATCCACATTGGAAGATTTCCCCTTGCCTTCTATCACTTTCTGTTCTAAAGACAATAGTCACTAAAGGATAACTCAGCCGATGTTGGATTGGCTGAGTCGAATGGCTACTTCACTCCGGTTCAGCCGAACATGCAGAGCATGTTTGGCTGACTGGAGCCAGCCGATGTACGGCTCATTTTAGCTACTGTACAGCTGAAATCAGCCATACATGGCCGAAGTGAATAGCCGGACTGCGTTCGGCTCACTTCACTTCGGCTCGGTTATCCACTCGGCTGCCTCTGGCAGCTTAGTGAATAACCCCCTTAGCTTTTGCAGGATCCCATCAGAAAATGCATTGACTCCACCCTTCCCTAGGTAAGTTTACAGGAAGCCAGGCTGTAAGTTGAAGTAATATACATGCGTTACAATGCTATTCATACGTTAAAAAAAAATAGTCATGTACAATTTTAGGCACATCAAGGTACGTTGGCGGTCCATTCATTTCAAGGCGACATAACACACATCAGTGCACCCCAAATAAGTAAATGGGCCATTAGACAAGTGTATTTTACATTTTTCTTTTTTTTTTTATGTAACTGTGCTCTTCCACATGGGGAATGGTGAGGTCTACAAGATAAGTAGATAATCTACAAGATGCATTATGACAGAAGGTGGCTTTAATGTAAAACCTAACTAAATTCCCAAAGCACTGTGTATCATCCAGTTTTCATTTAAAAAAATACTTGTTTTCACTTTTTCATTCTTTGTTGCATTACAGCACTGCTGATCTTAAGCAGCCTATTTACAGCCAATATCCAAATACATGTACTCCAGTAATATTTGCATGGCTTTACTCGAGGCAATTTTTCCTGATGGTGACAACAGTGGACTCCATCAGAATTCCATGTAACAGGTTGACAACACAGAAGTATGCTTCAATGATAGACACTGAGCATTGCACTGAACAAGAACTTTCATAGCAGGAGCACCAGGTATTATTTTAATTAATCCTACAAATGTAAAAATATTGAAAATTACTTTTGAAATGATTTAACATGTTATAGCAAATTTGAGATTTTAGGGATTGGGTTTTTATATTCTTTAACATCCCCATGAGTTGCATTTCAATAAAAGGCAGCCCAAACTGGAATGTCATCGATTTGCCTAACTGGGAAGAGAAAGCACTCAGACTGATACAAAGCTAAATAAATTCTCCTGTGTCCAGGAAACAACATGCAAGATTCCTCATTTGAACTCATAAAAACAGGTTATTTGTTGTTACTTAGAACAGGAGCAATCATTAAACCTTTTTTTTCTTCCCTAGTAGAAGATGAAGGTACTAATGTTACCTGTATAGAACACATATTAACACACAGTATCTTAATTGTCTAAATAATTTTCAACATCCACATCATATTTACAAATAAATCACTAAAATAAAAAAAGGGTTTATTTTATGTAACTGGTTTCTGTATTAGGCTAGCTGTAATTATTATGAAAATTAAATATCACATTTCTAAAATTAAATTTATAATTGAATTTAGACAAAATTGAGTATTCAAAGTGGATTTCTGTTTAATAATGTATAGCATGCGAATACTTCAGCTGTGCAATTGCAAGAAAAGGTATTTGTTTGCATATGGATTTTTCATACTTTCTATAATCTTGCAGCAGCATCAACACAGATGTAACAAAAAGAGATGGAATTCTCACAATGTGTAAGGCACATCAAACCACTTAACCTTTAAGACCAAACTAAAAAGTAAATTTTCTCCCAGTAGAGCATTAGCTCTATGACTAAAGCACCAAAATCACCAGCAAAAACTTTGTAGACACCTCTAGATAGCAGCAGGTAAATTATGTGTGCGTTATGAAAGCTGCCTTAACTCATCATTTTGTTTATCTTTTCTACACAAATTATCATCTTGCCTTTGTGGAGAGTTAGAGTAAGGATAGAACCTTCGGCTGATCTATATGAGCTTTGCAAACACCATCTAGTTTTGTCTGCAATGTACAATAATTGAACTTTCAGTAAAACAATGATCCAAATTCCATTGTAGACGCACACAATAACAGAGAAATCAATTCTATACATGCTAAATATTCATGAGGATTTTGTGCTGCACAAAACCTAGCACATAAAAAAACCAAAACTGAGATGCTAGTGTATGTCAGGTCAGAAATACAGATGGTGATATCGTTATCCTGATTTTACTGGGTCACCTACAGTTTTACTGGTAATGCCAAAAGCTTTACTTTCTCAATTCTAAAGTGTTTTTCCACTCATTGAACCGAAACATATTGGTGTAGCTAAGACATTAACCATTAAAGTATCTGTTCATGCCTGAGCCCAGAATGAAACAGCCATATTACTAAATTATTACCACTATTGTAATGGATAAAAATTATGCTAAAAATAGTACCATGACCATAATTACAGAAAATGATCTTTAAAAAAACAGTAATCAGAGCTGAATAAGGCAAAGGTTAGTTACCTATAGCAACCACTCAGAATTCACCTTTTGTTGTTCTGACTGGTCCCTAAAGTTTTAAAGGTGATTGTTGATTACTGGCTTATTAATAAGCCTAATTTTATTAGGAAAATGATGGTAGTCTTAAGCTATCAGTGCATAATTATATTTTGGTACCACTATAAAATGCAGTAAAATAAGTCCCTTCTAAACTGGAGTTCTTTTTCTTGCACTAGAGTAGTTAGTCCATAATGTTCAAGAGTGGTTGTGTCATTCTCTGAAAGGCATAGAGTATATGAAGCAATCACTTTTGTTAAGTGTAAGCGTATTTCCTCTAGTGAGTCCTGGAGCTGCATGTCCCATTGCGGTATGTGCTGCCCGTTGTCAACATGCCATTCTGGAGATCCTCAGCACTGTAAGCTCTGCTTTTCAATGCTGTGGCATAGTAGTCCACTGGTTCTTCTGTGGCATTTTCCATCCAACTAAGACACAAGACCTTCTGAAAGGACCGTCTGAAATTGTCTGATAGGACACCATAGAGGAAGGGATTGGCACAACTATTGGCATAACCAAGTGCAACAGAGAGTTGGCTGATTGTAGTGTCCCCCTTCCTGGCAAAGACACCCACTAACTGCACTACATAGAAAGGCATCCAGCAGACCAAGAAGACTGTCACCACTACAGTTACCATAAGTGTCAGCTTACGCTCAGATCTGCGTCGTTGCTGCCAGCCAGCCTTCAGAGCCACGACCCTCATTTTGGTGATAATGAGAATATAGCAGAGACAGATGGCAGCCATAGGCAGGAGGAAGCCCATTAGAAATGTGTAGAGTACAAAGACTACAACCCATCGTTGAGAAGGTTCAGGCATATGTACATTGCATGCCACTGTCCCATCACTGTTAGGCGCTGTACTGGAGAAGATTACAATGGGCATAATAATGAGAATCGAAAAGAGCCAAACTCCGAGGTTGACCATCTTAGCCACACTCGGCCGCCTGTAGCGAGCAGCACTTATGGGATGTACTACTGCCACATACCTGTCCAAACTAAGAACCGCCAAGCAGTAGACGCTGGTAAACATGTTCATGGCATCCAAACTCAGAACCAGCCTACATAGAAGAGATCCAAATGGCCAGTGACGGAGAAGAGTTGATGTCACCAGAAAAGGTACACTCAGCATGAGAAGTTCATCAGCAATTGCCAGATTTAAAATATAGATGTTAGTTGCAGTCTTCATTTTGGCATAACGCAAGATGACATATATCACCATAGAGTTACCACACAATCCCACAATACAAACTAAGGAATAGACAAATGAAATAAAGATTGCAATTCCAGGGGACTCCGTAGAAGTGGTGTTCCGGGAGCTGTTGCCCAAAGTCAACTCTCCTGCATTGTCCAGCAGTCCTAATAATACTGTGGATGTATTGTTTTGCAGCATCTTGAAGTTTAATTGAAAAGGAAAAATTTATTTAAAAAAAATGAATCTTGTCTTTCAGAGCTATACAGGTTGCATGTAGATACAATCTGTTCTTGCTTTAAAGCAAGCATTGCTGCAATAGCGAGTTGAGTTCATAAAAACACACAGCATTCTGCTCAAATCCTCTCGGCATTGATTTGGGATGTCATTTTATGTGCCTTTTCTGTCCATGTCAGCAAATTCAGCAGATTAAATTCCAGATACAAGGTTGATCTTATCACTTTGGTCCAAGATATAGGAATCAAATTCTTCCTCCACTTAGATAACATGCAAAGATGAAGAAGCTTCGAAGGTCTGCAGCTAGGTTCTGGCAATTCCTGTCTCCATACAAGAGTAGCATTAAATCTCGAGCTGCAATGTTTGTTACAGACTGTAGATGAAAAGCAGGAGGAGCAGTGCCTGAGTGATTCACTGATCAGAAAGCATCAGAAACAGTTATTACACAGTAACAAAAGCTCAAGAAAGCGTAGCTCTGGGGCACAGCTGAAAATTCTAACATTGCAGAATGTGAGGATGCAAGAGGTGCAGGATGCTGAAGGTTGAAATGAGAAGGACCTGCTCTTGCTATGTAGGGAGGGGAGAAAAATCTCCTGTACAACATGTTGTCTCTTCTCCAGGGAATGTATTTGTCTTTGTTTAGCTTTATAGCTTTTTCTTTTGTTTAACCCCTACTGTGTGTATTGCTCTGAAGCATTATGTGGACTGTCATCCCAAAAATATTTATGATTTAAGACCTCCCTGTGTTTCCGCTCACTGTTCCGTGACCTATTCTGCTCCTGCGTGATACTCACTCTTTCCCTGCATGACTTACAATATCTTTTTCCCATTAACATTTTCACTTGTGGGTGTCATTCAACAAACATCACTTATACAAAGAGCTGCCAGTTTAAATGCAGAGGGTGATTTCCAATGTTAAAAGACACTCTTCAGATATTGCTTTCTTGTGGTGAGTGTAGCAGGTCCATAAAGTAGTCAGAACTTTGTATTTCAGTGGTTTTAGCTTGAGGTGGTAAATGAACAGCATCACTGTTGGAGTCATAGGGGTTGATTTACTAACCTCACAAACACGCCAC